CGGTTATGCAAACCTTGTGAAAGTTCCTGCATTGTTTCTTGCATGCATTCGAAATGCAAACTGATTTGTGCGGAACCTTGTGCAGTCTGTGCGGAAGGTAATATAATTATTATAATTCGTAATTAAATACATCTTAATATTAATATTTAATAATTGAATTTTTATAGCATGTGGGTGGCAATGTAAGTATGAAGGTACTTGTTACTTGCCATGTGGCGTACCTTGCAACCGACTTCCGTGTAATTTGCGATGTGAAAAATTAATGGATTGTGGGCATCAATGTTTTGGCCTTTGTGGTAAGCCAATAGATCAAATTTCATGATTTTATTTATAAATCATTTTTAAATTAATTTTCATTATATTTTTGATTTGTAGGCGAGAAATGTCCTCCATCAAAATATTGTGCAGATTGTACTACAGATGATAATGTCAAAAATCAAGGTTTATATTTAAGACAAGGTTATTGTTATTAATTAAAAAGTTATTATTGTTTATTAATTTCGATCATCAATATTCGATATTAGTTGTTGATCTGATTATGCAAGAAACCTTTGCAGACTTAGATTGGACTTCCGAGAGAATGGTCGTCTTAGATTGTGGTCATGTATACACAGCAGATAGCCTCGATCAACTGATGGAAATGAAAGAATATTACGAAATGGACGACAAAACCAACAAATGGATCCGGATCAAAACAATTACTTCACAACCAAGTGATCCTAAAAGTTGTCCGCAATGCCGTGCTCCCATTAAAGATATTTTTCGTTATGGAAGAGCAACAAAAAAAAATGTTTTGGATGTTCAAACCAAAAAATTCTTGTTGAAATATAATAATCAACTAAAAAAACGAAATAAAGATATAACAAATGCTACAAAACAGCTGGAGAATAACCGAAAAGAATTTTTAAAAGAAATTCAAATACCGTTGAAAGATAAAGAAATGAAAGTTATAGAAAAAAATTCAATGTCGCAAAAACTTCCGGAAATTATATCAACAGAGCAATATACATTTCTTAAACAATATTCTATTCCATTAATGCATGAAAAGAGATGGAATCAACATATATCCGTACTTCTCGCCATATATCGAAGGTTGATGCAGCTAATGTTGGCAACACAATCTCCTCCGCATAAACTTGCATACGAGAATGCAGTATCTCTTCTGTAAGTTAATAATCTTTATTGCACGGGTCTTATGTGACAACTCGTGCTTTTTTCATTTATTATTGACACGGAATTGTTACGTCAGACACCGTGCAATAAGATAGTTATTGTATGGGTATATTAAATAGCACACACGGGTTCAGCACGGAATATGAACCCATGTGTAACTGGGTTATTCACTACATACCCATACAATAACTATAAATTATTTTATATTTCAGAAAATATTCACCCGTGTATACATTTTACTTTAAATTATTATAGATATGATCACAAAACTCGAATTAATATATGTGATCTCGACAAAAATTTCGTGTCTTTGGATAATTTAAATTATGATTCTCCCGTTCATCAACGTATTAAACTTCAAGAAACTTTGGCGGAAGTTGGGTTAAGTGCGCCAAAAGTGGACGTCAGAATATATCTTGATGCATTTTTGGAAATAGTTAATATTCAAAAAGTTATTTTTCATGAAATTTTCCTGGTTATTCCAGAGTTGTCAAAAATAGCGAAAACGGAAAATAATCAAAACCAACCTTCTTATGAAAAAAATTGGGTTGAATTTGGCGAAGATATAATCGTATCAATTAAAAAGCATCTTGATATTATAATTACGACAGCTCAACAAAATAGCTATCTTCGTCACGCAATTCTGTCGTCGTTTGAGTTAGCAGAAGTTGAATGTAAGGCTGAACGATTTAGGCTCAAATATCCTCCTACAGGCCAAGTAACTCCTATTATTCAACGGTCTGTCGAAAATAAATGTTCTGAAATTGAAAGGACATGCGAAGATATTTGTAATAAAATGCTTCCTACAATGAGTGCCGAATATTTTGAAAAACAATGTAATTTAAGAATTGAAAAAATTCTTCGAGAGGTTTCGGACCTTCGAGATGCAGCTATGAAGGATAGACCTTTAACACATGAAGAAAAGCTGGAAATACGTAAAGCAATGGATAGCGAATTTCGGGGATCAGGAGTAATATATATTTATTATATTCTTCTGCCTTTGTATTTTTACACAATAATCAAATTAATTTGAAACTTTACAAAATTAAATTTTAGCATTGGTACCAGTGTCCAAACGGCCATCCTTATACAATAGGTGAATGCGGAGGTGCCATGCAAGCTAGCCGGTAATTTTATTTGAATAATATTACATTCTAACCTCGATCAAAAGCTATCTGCTTTATATGGCGCTATAATAGTCACATTAAATTTGATTACTAAATTATCATATCGAGGTTAGACTACACTTTGATGAAGCCTTTGACTAATTCATGTTTCTGATCTTTTTAAGTTGTGCGGATTGTGGTGCGCCAATTGGTGGCGGAAGTAAGTTTTTTTTTCAAAATCTAATAATTGAGTTGACAAATCCTTATTTGTAAACATTGAAAAAAATCAATTATCTCTTGCTAAAATATATATTTAGATCATAATCTTGCTGCTGGGAATAGTCTTAACACGGAATTTGATAGTATGCGGTTGTGAAAGGTATGCGCGAAATTGATAATATATTAATTAGATTTGGCATTATGCTTGATACACATCTCTTTATAACTATATGTCACTATTAGAACTTTTTTGCGATTTTGTTCGTTCTAACTGCTGCAAAGACAATGAGTTCAGACTCATCTTAAGTAAAAGTTAATCGCTGAATAACGTTAAACATTTTGGTTTTTTTTTTTTTTTATATATTTTGTGATTGCAAAATAGAACATTTATTAGATTTACCAATATTTTATGTGTGCCGCTAGCTTTGATGACTTCTTTTACTTTGAATTTCTTTCACATATAAATATATGTATAAATGTGTATGGCACATATTGTAATATGATTTTATTTTATAATGCGTATCAAAGGTTATTTCGAAGTTAAATTTGATTAAAGGTTAAGTTTGTACTGTAGATACGAGTGCATATAACAGATAAGGATAGATATTGGCGCGACAGAATTGTAGTTATGAATAAATGCATAACCAGGGATGTTACACTAAAATTTTAGAAACACTTTATATTACCATC